CCTTCAGCTCTCTATACTGACTTCATTTTCTCCCACAACCCTCGTCCAGCTGTGTGAATGGAGGTATGTTTACTCATTTCCAACACCTGGAAATTCACTCCTCTCTGCACTTACACTTCCTTTGAATATCATGCCATTACTGTTACAGATCCTGCCAAAATGAATTTTGTCACCTTCCATCCTCCAGGTCAAGACATGCTGCTGTCTTCTTTCCCAGAGGATGAAACACCACTGGTAATCCTCCTCATTAACCTTGTCAAACCTTGAGCAGATGATTTTCTAGCTCTTCTGGCCTTGTTCGACCTCACTAAAAAAGCAAACCCTGTGACACACAAAGCAGGCAAACAACTATCAACAATCATCCTCACATGTAACTGTATCACTGACAAACACATTAAAATTCTCTGTCACTTATTTCTCCAGTTCTCTGTAACTCTCTCTTCATGCTCACCAATGACTCCTCTGATCTCCTTTCGCTGTAACCGTTGCTCTGACTCCTCTACACGCTTCTTCTCTGTGGTGTCACATCTCTCCCCAACATTAACCACTTCTCTTCTCATGATGTCAGTGAAGATACTGACACTCTCTCCTACCACTGCTCTGCAGATGATACACAGCTCTATCTGTAGCTTCAACCTGATGATCCCACTGTCTCAGCCTGTGACTCTGCCTGCCTTTAATACATCTCTACTTGGATAAAGGACTGTTTAACTGGGGTCTGCAACACTAACACCAACCAGGACAGCAAGGAACCTGGGGATGGTGTTTGATGACCAGTTTCTCGATGTCCTTGTTCAATGAAGGCCAGAACACTACACCTCGTGCTCTGCGTTTTGTTGATTCGACTCCAGGATGTCCTCTGTGAAGAATGGTGGTGTATTCTTTCTGCAGTGACTTGGGAATCACAGCTTTTTGGCCTTTCATCACAATCCCATCCTTTGTTGTCAGTTCATCTCGGTATGGGTAATACTGTCGGAGTGCAAGAGGCAGCTTTGCCTGCCGATCTGGCCAGCCCTGGTGTATTATTCTGCAAAGCTGCTGCAGTGTTGGATCTGTGGCTGTGTGCTATTTTAACTCGACAAGCCTTGATGATGAGATGTGTTCTACAGACATTACCTCAAAATCAGTCTTTTCACTGGCTTGCACTTCTGTGTTCTTCATGGGGGCACTTGAAAGTGTATCGGCCAGATACCTTTGTTTTTCCTTTTTTGTAACCTATCACAAAATCATACTTCTGGATCATACAACATTCGTTGTAATCGTGCTGGTGTCATGTGCAGTGGCTTGTTGAGAATTGCCACCAATGGCTGATGATCTGTTTCAATTAGAATTTCCTTTCTGTGTATATACTGTATAGTCGTGAAACTTAGCACATGCAAACACCACTGCGAGAAGCTCCTTCTCAATTTGAGCATATTGTGTCTCAGTCTGTGTCAGGGTACGTGAGTCATATGCTATAGGAGCATTCTCTTGAAGGCATGCCGCACCAAGTCCAAACTGTGAAGTGTCACATGTCAGCAGGGGTGTGAAGTAACGAATTACAAATACTCACGTTACAGTAATTAAGTAGTTTTTATCAGTAATTGTACTTTTTTGAGTAGTTTAAAAATTGTGTACTTTTACTTTTACTTGAGTACCCAGTCAACAATTTGATCTCACAATGATGTCACCATGAGCTCACATGATTCTCATGGTGTGGAGCTTGTCGGTTTAATTACAAAAACTGCTAAGTTCTCACCTCACTGCTGAGAAAAATATGTAGCTTTTAGCTGTTGTATTTTCAAAATTCACGGGGCGGGGGTTGAAAACCAGCTGCTGAATGTGCAATTTCTTACCTATAAAAAGTTTTCATCTCAATAAAATGCGAGCGCATACAGCATAACGGCATTAAAACGACATTAAAAATCTTTATGAGCAAACGTGTCGCCCTCGCATTGGGAGTTCTGTGGAGAATCGGATATGTGTGTTTAGACGTATAGGTCGAATCTCCAGATATCAGATGTGTACCCGATTAAAATCCACATTTGGAAGTGGCTCAGATCGGATGCAAAAAAATCGGATCTCGTGCGGGTTTTTGTGTTTACACATGTGCAACAAATTCCGATCTGCGTCAGATGTGAGCGAAAGATCGGATTTTTTGTGCCAGTGTAAACGCAG